TTTTTAAAGCTTGAGAAGAATCTGACGATTTATTTGCTGTATCCTATTATGAATATATACATATATATTTTTTATGTTTTATAGGATGTGACTAACTATTTCAAAATAACCTTATAATAAATATTATAAGATCTTACATGTAACTGATGTTCATCCAATTTATTTACATTGTTAGATTCTTTAGTCGCTGAATCACTACATAATTTAGAATGATCTCGTTTATTACGTGCTTTTGGACTAGGACGTGGAGACAAATTAGGACTTGAAACAGGACTACATTGTTCACCACCTGTTCCGGTTAATGATTCTTGTGTATTTTCGGATATACCATTTCCTCTATTTACTGCTGCATTTTGATTTTCAGATCCAGCAGAATTTATGTTAGTAACTACTTCGCGACTAGAGATTAATAAATCTTCCACTGACTTATTCCTATAAAAGAAACAAGCATTATATTATATGGAAAATTAAAAATGACAATATGTTAAAAAGAATTCTTTACAATAAAATATATTGGTTATAAAAATATTAGATCTTTAAAATGATATAAAGAGAAATTGTAATGCAAAATTACTTACATGCTTGAAATTGGATATTTCTGTGGAGATTCCACTTCAAAGTACATAATAATTATAGCGTACTATCATGAATATTGTTAATAGTGCTGTGAACTTGTCACAACTTTATATCAATATATAGCAGTTTTATGAAAGATTGACAATAAAACTTGACAACTCACATCAATGATGCAATATTTTATTTTTACAGTAATTACATTTTGTAAAGACAACATACGCGTGACTTTCGCAAAATGTGTAGTCGTTGCGATGACAATTCATTTCAAGTAAACGTAAATTGTTATAGAACACACGTCGACTGTTTTAGTTGATCTAAAACCATATAATTATCATATTTTTGTATAGGTATTAAGTTATTATTTTCTTATTAATATATCAATCAATATATACCGTTTTTTAAAACATAATAGAAAACAGTGCGCATATCAAAAATGATCCACCATATTGAACTAACCGTATTTTTTTCCGGTTAACTGATACGCAGAAAAAATTGTAAAAGATTACGAATAAGATCACACGTTATATTGACTATAAAAACATCAAACAATATAAAATGAATAGATTACTTTAAAACTTTACGTATTAATTTTATAAATATTATTTTCTTCGATATAATTTACAGAATATAATTTCAGTTAGATAAAAAAAATTAAAATTTTCGCGGAAACTTTATAAATATCATATATACCTACATTATCAATAATGTAAGTAATTTATATGTAGTAATCGATTGATATCTAAAATCTAATACGATGTTTTCAGTGCGATATTGGTATAAAGATTCATGCGAACACTGCCATTTGTTCATTCCATACCGTTCCATAAGGTGCTTTGTTTGTGTTTCATATGTGATGATTTGTACAAAATATTAATTAAATATATAATACTTTAAATAAAAGAGTAAAATGTGGAAGATATATGTATAATTTTAGAATTATTTGTTTAAAAAATTAAATTTTTAATTAATATTCATTTTGAAAAACATTAGGAAGAATTTCATAGGTTATACACACGTATAAAAAATAGTGCAATATATAAAGAAATCTTGTATCCGTTTCTTTTGACGAAAAGAAAGATTTTCTTTATTTTTACTTCTTGCTAATTTTAAGATTTTCTTATAAGTGATATAATGGATGAATTAATTCGACCTGACCGGCCCAGCCGTTGCACGTGGACTCCAAATGCTACAAATACTCCACACACGATTAGAACGAAGTAAGATGACAAGACAAAGTTACTATTAATGGAAATAAATTAAAAAACTAATAACATTTTTATCTTGTTACTATATAAAATAAACTGTACACTCAAATTTTACATAATGTTGATATTACTAAGCGTTAGACATATAAGTAATTAAAAATGCAATTCATCCGACATAATTTTATACATCTGTTACATGATAGTAAGGTATACTCGTATAGTTTTATTAAATAAATAATATAGTGACAACAGAATTACTATTATTTGTTTAAAGAATTTAAATATTATTTTAGGTTTTCATATTAAAAGTTATTTACATTATAGAATGCAATAAGCATATACAAATATTTTATTTTCAATATCGATATAAAGTATCTATAAAATAATATTTTTATGTAATACCTCTTTTTTAGAATACCTGATCGTAATAGAATATTGCCCGATATATTAACAGCTATTGGACAGACACCACTAATAAAATTAAACAACATTCCTAAATCCCATGGAATTAAATGTGACATTTGTTAGTATCAATTTTATTTCATCATTATTAATATATATACATATATAAGCACAATATATAATTTTTAGATGCAAAATGTGAGTTCCTTAATCCTGGTGGATCTGTAAAAGATAGAATCGCATACAGAATGATTCAAGATGCAGAAGAAAAAAATTTGCTAAAACCAGGGTATACCATTATTGAACCTACAAGTGGCAATACAGGAATTGGATTAGCAATGGTTGCTGCAGTTAAAGGTTACAAATGTATCATTGTTATGCCAGAAAAAATGTCCAATGAAAAAGTTTATATACTTCGTGCACTTGGTGCTGAAATCGTTAGAACGCCAACAGAAGCAACTTTGGATAGTCCAGAAGCACATTTTAATGTTGCTTATAAATTACAGAAGGAAATACCGAATAGCATTGTTCTTGATCAGGTAAAATATTATACGCATAAATATGAAGTAATTATGTGTAAATATAACAATTTTATATCTAATTTCTTATTCTTATTACACTCTATGCTTAGTATGTTAATCCTGGAAATCCATTGGCTCACTATGATCAAACTGCACTTGAAATTTGGAAGCAGTGTGATGGAAAAATAGATTATGTAATACTTGGCGCGGGTACTGGCGGTACTGTTACTGGAATTGGACGAAAATTAAAAGAATTGTCACCAAGCATACAAATTATTGCTGTAGATCCTAAGGGGAGTATCTTAGCTCGATCACCTGAATTACAAGATACTGTTGATTTTTATGAAGTAGAAGGAATTGGGTAAACAACGCTTTTTTTATGCTATCGAGAATAAGATTTGTATTCAAATTTTTATTCATTAATGTATTTTTTTCAGCTACGACTTTATACCAACAGTTTTAGATCATGATGTGATCGATAAATGGATTAAAACTGAAGATCTTGAATCATTCAATGCTGCTAGAATGCTTATACGGGAAGAAGGTTTATTGTGTGGTGGTAGTAGTGGTGCTGCACTTACAGCTACTCTTAAAATAGCTAAAGATCTTCCTGAAGGGAAACGCGTGGTTGTTATTTTACCTGATGGAATACGGAACTATATGACTAAATTTGTATCTGATCATTGGATGGAAGCTAGAGGATTTTTAGTATGTTATTTTTTTATTATGTACTAAATTCATTGTTTATGGCACTTTTATTGGATCTGTGAATCACACAGTTTAATAACATGTTACAGGAATTTGTTTGCCAAAATGAAGCAAACAAATGGTGGTGGAATGTACCAATTTCACATTTATCTTTTGATAAAACAGTTATGTTTAGTGATAATATAACATGTGAAGAGGCCGTTCGTATTTTTGAAGAGACGAAACTTCAACAACTGGTTATTAGTAATGACAATAAACATGTTATAGGTGTCATTATTTTCAATGTGTTCATGTCAAACTTAGTATCTGGTGCAACAAAACTTACAGAATCCGTAAAAAAATCAGTGACAAGACATTATGTCAAAGTTAAACTATCGGCAAGTCTTGGACAACTATCGCGTATTCTTGAAAGAGAATTATACACTGTTATTTTAGACGAGGAACAAGATAATGCATTTATTGCTATTTTAAATCAATGCCATATATTAAATTTTATTACAAAAGGTAATAATACTGTGAATTCAAAATAATGAAACAGTTATGTGTTAAGTGTTTAAGAATTAATAATACGGTCTTGATCTATTCAAAACCAACTACATACCAGATGGGCATTACTGCAGTACTTAACCAAAATAAAACAACCAGTAAAAATAAAACTTGTATTGGTTTCGAACTAAGATCTCTAAAAAATTTTTTCTAAATTTTCAATATAAACTGAAAATAAGGTTGGTCCTTGGTGACTGTCTTAAAAAAACGTTGACCCCGAATGAGTTAACGTTGTTTTCATACTTCGTTTTATACTTCGTAAGATATAATCGTAAAATTTGTATAGTTTATTATAAGATATGATGTATGCATTCTTATTTGTTTTATATAATTTTTTAATTACTAATGATTTAAGTGGAATCCAGCGTAATTACGTTGTGCGCATACATAACACATTACAAGCTATACACAAATTTTAAAAGAAGCATGTAATACATGTAATCAATTTCGCGTTTATTAAGTGACACTTGATATTACATTAAATCACATGTGGAATATGTATTTACGTATATGTACATGAAGTAAAATAACCGTGATCACACTGCACGTTATGTTTTAAACGAATTTATGTAAGATTATAGTAATCAAATAAATCAAACAGATAAATTTTATACTTGTTATATAATTAATAAAATATTGCTTATGTATTTGATCGCTTTATATATAATTTATATACATTATATTATATATATATAACTTTTTATTTACTTTCTTCTATTTTTATTCTGTTCTTATAAATTAACCTATACAAAAGATTAATTCTATGCAATATCCATGATTCGCTTAAGTAATGTCCGAAAAAAATCTAAATCTTTTATTTACCTTAACTGATGAAATTAATACAATTCTTACATTTGTTGTACTTGTACATGAAATTTACAACTTGGTAACATAGAAATTTCAACATTAACAGTACTAATTATTCCAAGATTTGCTAAGCTCCCCCTCAAAAGTCCACAAGTAAATGCTAATAAACGTGGACTTTCTTGAAGATATTGTTTATTGCTACTGGTACCTACTTTATCTAATAATCGAAATGAATTATCTTGCAATATGTATACACCATGATGATTAGTCCTTAAATTATCAATCTGTTTATGGTAAAGACTAGACCAAAAATCTGTGCAAATGAATTTTATCATGTCCAATTCATCTTTAAATCGGCTGCCTTCCCATGTTAATCGTTCAATGATTCTATAGCCAACACTGAATCCCATCCATTCTAGTCGACTGAGTTCTTCTTCCTTTTCCTTTATTTTTTAAATATTATAAATATGAAAAATTTATTAACTTTATAAAATTAATCTTCATGTGTAAGAATTTATAGTAAAGCTAAAACTTCAGTGTAAAACTTTCATTTGTAGTTCAATGCTTATAAATATTAAAGAAAAAAACAAGAGTTAATATTTGTATGTTAATTATTTGAAATTAAAAAATATATTTATTGATTAAAACTGATTTTACTTTAACATGGTGAATAAATCTTCTGATTTTCTAATGTTTGATGAATGAAAATTTCATTAATGTTTGAACGATTGCCTTTATAATATCACTAAAATATTAATAATGTATCATACATTATGGATTGTTTATTATAATAATGATAAATCTATGCTAAATAATAAAAAAAAAGATGTTAAGTCAATTTTTAAACTTTTTAGTGGAAACTTTCTTTTTTATTACAATCTATATAAATAAAAACAATTCGAAATTAACAAAAAGTAATATTAATGCAATTGTTCTTGAACAAATGAAATTATTATGAACTTAATAAACAGTTATTTTATTTACAATTACCTTTTTATTACATGCTTTACTCAAAGCGTAATTAACCATTTCCGTGTGTAAATATTCGAACAAACACTCATCAGCTTCTCCTACTGGATGGGAATTCATCTTCATGTCTATTATTTGTTGTCTCATTTTGCTTTCTGTGTTTATCACGGAATTATATCACCTACGAAATCTATATTAAACAAATTTATTTCATTAATTACTATGTTTTTATTAACAGTACAACGGTTTGATTTACCTTTTTAAAGAAGTAGTTTTTAATATAACATATGAAACAATACCAAACCTCAACTGTCACAGTTTCGTAACAACATTAAACTCCTGAATAGAAAGTAACTTTTGAAATCTTTACAAATTCTAAGAAGAGATAATTGAATACAACATAATTATTTAATCGTGTTTTTCTAATCAAGTTGCAAAGCAAAGAAAACGAAACTGGCTTTTACAGAAACTGACATTTACGACTCCAACCTGAATTTGTCGCTTATTCTATATTTTCTATTACTTCTCACATTTCTGAGTTAAAACTTCAAAAATTGTAAATGTTAGTAAAGATAAATATATTAAATTATTTAATTGTTTAATTGCATACAAAATAATATCGATAAAGAATGTATATGTAATAATATAAAATAAAGAACATCTGGTAATAATAGTATTAACTGGATTGTATGGTACTATCATATTAACTAAATTGAATGAAATTTATGAATTTGAGATCGTTAATATTGAATAATGATACAAAAATAACATCAAATTCTACATTTTCGATCGAAATGAATTAGGGAAACAAACTTGGATCACGCTTTTTTATTTAAAAATTTTATTCCAAATTTTTTTTCCAAAGTTACAACTTTTTAATAGTTAATAAAGAAAATAATTATGCAGCATAAAGGTTAAGCCAGCTGTATCTAATACGCAGTACAGACACAATTGAATAAGAAATTTTAATAAACTTTTATTTTGAATATAAATAAAAGTACTGAATAATAATATAAAATATAATTAAATTATTTTTCTTCGAAGAAAGTAAAATTTAAAATTTTGTTTTTTTTAATAGGGCTACAATGTATTTAGTCAAAAATAACATTTTAAAATAATTTTATATTACTGCATGTAATAATTTTCGTTATTTCGTCACTCATTTCTAATTTTGTCACCCTTGATTTTTATTTTATTTTGACTGATAGAATCACTTATTAAGAGGATGTCCATAAAGACTCTACTTACATACTGGTAACAATCATCCCAAGTTTAGTATAACAAATACATGTAATAATTTCTTTTGTTTAAAAATTTGAAAGGAACCTGTTTTTACTTTTGACCCTATAGTAACATGTATGGTGTACTTCACTCGATATATCTTTTATTTTTAATAATTAAATGTAATTTACTCTTTTTATTGAAGAAATTTTCAAGTACATACATATCACAAAGTTGTTATTAATTAAATTATTTGTGATCATATAATTAATATTGTTATTATTAAGAAAAAATGGATTGTAACTTTGAGTTCTCGAGGGGCTGTGGTACAGGTGTCGCGGAAGCAATTGGAAATTGGGGATTTTCTAATAAAATCTCAAGTTCTGGACAGGAACTTCAATATTTAAGATACCTTTCAGAAAAAATGGCTTATTTGTAAGATTTACTTTGTTATCTAACTAGGAAAGAATGTCTGTTACTTTTCTGGCAAAAATTTACGTTACTTAATGTATTTTTTAAAATGTTCTTTTAGAAAAGATACAAAACCTATGATGCGTGTAAAGTATGATCGTAGATATGATCCTGAAGCTTGGTCCATAAAACCTAGTCCTGAAGAATGTAAACCAGCTTGGTCTATTCCGGAAAAGAGACCACTCATTACATATAGCTCTACTGCAGAAATACTTTTAACTTCAAGTTTAAATAGCATTGGCACAGATTTATTATACGTTATACCAGGACGAAGTTATGTGTTGCAAGGTGTATGTAAAACAACTTATTAAGTTTGTTTATAATTTTCTTGCTACGTACAACCATTTCAGTGATATATTAAAATATTTAATAATTAGATTTATGTGAATACTTAGAGAGATTAAATAATTCTGTTAGTTTTTTGTTAATTTTGATTTTAACAGACAAATAAATGGTACAGACGAGGGTCAAATTGCTGTCCACAACCAAGTTGTATGGCACCAAAATGTCCAAAACCATGTTCTTACTGAGAATGTAACTTTATTTTAAATGTAACATATTTCTAATTGTAAAGTAAAAAATTGTATCGCATAAGTATTAATGAAATCAAAATAAATGTTTTTAATAACAATATTTCATACAAATTATATATTATGCTTTACTCTGTTATTTTGACAGCAATAAAAATAAAAATATTACAAAATTAGAAAATAACTGTATTTATAAAAATTATGATAGAATAATTTGAGTTCTTGTTATCCAATGAATAAGAAAAAAATATATTATTAAATTCGAAATTTAATTTCACTAATGTTGCGAATTTTGTTCATTTTTCAACATTAAATACATAAATAAATTTATTTCAATATTCAAAATATTTTACACATACAAAATTAAAAAATAGTTTTTATACATGGATATATCAGTGTATATACAATCTACATAATTAAATTGTGTACTATGAAGTTAACTATTAATAAAAAACTAAAAACATAATAAACAACATGGAACAAAAATTCTAAATTTTCTTTTATAATTTAATAATTACTATGTAATAGAAAATTAAAAAATATAAAATATCAGTATAAATTAATAAGTATATTATTATCTTCAATATAAATATTAATAAATTAAAATGTCTACAACACAAATAACCAACCCAGCAAATATAATATGCGGATTAAAAGCTGCAGTGACGGCTTTGGAATGGTTAGTTTAACGATTTAAATTATATAATAATTAATGAATAGGATATAATGTCTTATTATAAGCATGTAAATATACAAAATATTTTAAACATTAAATTCTTTATTAAATATAGTTATAATTTTTTTTCTTAATTATTGTACTTATAATAGTTATCACAACATGGATCTGTTAAAACGAACACAACAATTGAAAAAGAGAAAAAAGACACACCCACCTATGTTCCTGATGATTCCTATTGAAGAAAAAGATAACATAAAGAAAAAATTGCATATTACACATAAAACTACTACACCGGTGAATGATGTACAAGCAGTAGAGAAAAAGAAAAAACTTAGTAGAAAGAATAGCTGCAGTAATTTGGTAATTCTATAAAAATTAAAAGCATATGTATCCTTAAAAATTTTAATGATCTATAACAAGTAATATATTTTTTTGAATTTAGAGAAAAACTTACAAAAATTTTAAAACAGAAAAATATGTTCTTTTGTATTAGTTAAATAGAAAAAATAATTTTAAATGTTATTAGTTATCAAACATGTATTATCTTTTCAGGCAATTGATTTAAAATTCCCTGAAATGAGAGGTGGAATTTTATTTACAAGATGCTGTTGTGTGCACAGAGATGGTCTTCAAAATTCTTGTCCACTGACTTCGTGTCAAGGACAATCTGAATGCCTCGTTAAACCGTGGGCAGTATGCCCTGCTGCAAAATTCTTTCGATGTCGATATCCACAACAGTTTCCAGTGGAAAAGAATTAAATACTTATTTATAGATGTTATTACGTCACATAAAAATACCAATATTTTAAGAAGATTTCGCTATATGATTATAAACGGGTATGATAATAAATGACTTCCCAAAATATTGTATATATTTTTTATTAAAATAAATAAAACATGCCATTAATATATAGTACATAATATTAATTTTTATTTCAAATTGAATTTTCTATTTAATTGAAAAGATAATCTTAATTCAATTGATCACACAAGTATCACAATATTTGACCACTGGTTTCGTAAAATTAGCAAGGAACACAGGGAGAATTACAAAAAATGTATGGTGGTGAACATGGTGGTAGACATGGCGGTGGATATGATAGTGGACATGGTGGAGGACATGGTGGAGGACATAGTGGAGGACATGGTGGAGGACATGGTGGAGGATATGGTACACAGATTTTATATGATATACAGGGTGGTACTGATGATGTTGGTATACAACAAGAAGTATTTAATGGACAATAAGCACTTGAAGGACATGGCAGTTTCTGTCCACCACAGATGTCTTTAGCATTATTACACATTAATCTACAATAAGTTGCTAAAGCCGATTCTCGAGCTTTATCGGCACAATAAAATTTTCTCAGAACAACTTCAGCATCTCCTAAATCGGTTAATTTCAATAACGCATATTGGCCAGAATTACAAACGGGATATAATTTTGTCATGCACTCTGGTCTGCCCATGCAATCCCACATCATGCATCTATCTTGTAAACCGTTCCTTTTAATACACTCACATCTATATAGTATACTTGCTCGGAATTCAAAGCTTTTACAACGTTTTACAGGACTCTGAAATTTAAAACAAAGAAATAAATTTCTACTAGTCAGTGTGTTGAAAAACTAAATTTATAGATTAGCTTTATTTTCCACTTCTACGCTTACAATTATAAAATATGAAAGAAAAAAATATAAAGAATATAACAAATAAAAGATAAATAAAAACATCTACATTACAAATAGGAATGTGAAGACTAGACATGAGCGATTCTACTAGGTCATTTTCTTTCTCATGTTCTAACTTATATCTATCTACTATGTAATTTATGTACTCGTACATTTTATGTAAATAGTGGAAGAAAATTTAATAACCATAACATTACGAAATTCAATTTATACTCACGCAACAGGGTAATTCATTGCAAGGTGAAACAGGGCAAACAACAGGAGGTGGACAGAACGGTTCATCCCATTCACATGGTTTTCTACAAAAAAGAATACTTTAGATTTGTACATATAAATAGAATTGTTATCGTACTTTTTATCCATGGAACTGATCAAGCATTTTAATTGTGCTAATAATTCTCGTCTTTTTTCGCAATTCGGATTTTTTCCGTCGCACGGCATTCTTACAAGTAATTAAATTTCAGTAATTCCACACAAGAATTTTGATTTATTCAATTTTTATGATAATTAAAATGTTCGCATTTCTTTATGCATTCATCATGTTTTTTTGAAAATGAAATATCTTTTCAATAAGGAAATCTTGTATATAAATTTCTTACAAATTAATTTGTAAAATACAACGAAATCGAAATCATTAATTGTGTAAAATTTTGATGTAATCTGAACGTGTTTTATTAATAAATATATAATAAATGAAAGATATGTATATAAGTTTCAAATGTTTCTCGTTATCTCATAAGGAGTTGTCAAAATTTAAAGTATATACATGTGTCGATAAGAAGAAAATAAATAAATAAAAAAGAATTTTAAGAGGAGAAAGTGAAATTATTAGAATGTCTTGTGGAGGAGGTCTACCATGCTATCCATCAATGCCTTATTGCCCAATGCCTACAACTATGTGCTGTCCACCAAATTCACTATCGTGTGTACCGTACCCATGTTGTCCATCACCTTGCTTAGCTTGTCCACCACCATGTAAAATTACAATATGCACTCCATCAGTGCCGTGCGGACCTAGTCCACCGAAATGTGTTCCATATTGCCCGCCAGCATGTGTAGCAAGATGCCTAGGCCGAGTTACAACGCGTCCTATTAAATGGACAACATTTTTCTAGTGCAATTCTTCATTATATATGGTACAATGCATATTATTTTGTCCGCTCGGCACGAGTTGTTTTGTTTTAATGTAATTACAATTCTTTAATAGTGATTATAATACATTTTCAGGCCTCGTATCCAACTAAATAAGGTATCCCTATTCCGCATGAGGGGCAAATTATATACATTGTATGTAAAAATATTTCGTATTTACCAGGGTCAGTACACAATATATGATAATACTTTCCAAATTTTTCTGAATAAAAAATTGATGTATTCAATGTTGCTACTTTGTTCGAATTTCTTTTTTGTATAAATATTATACAGTAAAAATTTACCATATACGGAATACGGATATTCTATACACAGTACAATAGACTTTAAAGTTGAACAAGTAATTGACATTTATCGTATATTAATCTTTATAATAATGTATATAATATATAATAATTCTGTTAAACAGATGTAAAGTTACAATACCTCCTCCACCTGCTCCACAACCAAAAGTATATGTTCCCACTGAGCCATGTTGCAGACTTGGTTGTTTTCATGTTCCAAGCCCAAAATGTTGTCTTTATGCGTATTGGCGTTTACCATGTAAAGCAGATTGTTTTGAAGTGTGAAAATAAATAAGTAATGATAGTAATAACAATTCACACTAATTTAATGTTTGACAACTATAAAATAAGTTTTATTACAGTTATAATAACAAAATTATACTAAATAATAATATCACATTTATTGATACGAAACATAATCCAAGTTGTATATTTATCTGTTTACGTTGCATTACTAATACTGTTAATCCGGAATAAATTTGTAAGTATTGTTTCCAGTTTTCAATAAAACACCACATTCGTTTAATTTTGCAATTAATTGAGAAAAATCATCTACTGTAACATTTCCATCGATCGCAATTTCACGTAGTCTTTTTGTAGAAAATATTTTATTGCCAGAGGAAAGTCTTTCCTTTTTCAATAATTGTATAAATTCTCTGACCTTCAAAAATCAATTGTTTACTATCATTCTGTCATTGACAGTATAAGTAAATTAGTTTACTTACTTTTCTATCGGTTGCTTTTTTATTGTTTAACAATGACCAACTAACAATATTATTGTCAAATGTATATTGCAAAATTTCTATTACATCTAAAGCATCTATTTCAGTTGCTTGTGTGCGTAATTCCAATTTTGCTCTCGCCTATATAATAATATTAAAATTTAATTTTTAAATGAAATGAAAATTTGAAATTTATACAGATATTTGTAAAACTGAACCTCGGTTAATCTTATCATAGCTTCTAACTGTCTATTGTAAACAGATAGACCACTAAATTTACTATTTTTCCTTCGAAGTTGTAAATAATAATTTTGTAGTACTGTAGCTGCCTCGGTAGTAAGCGTTGGTTTGACATATTGTCGTGCATATGAAATGTACTTTCTAAGAATTGATTGTGGAATAGCATTTTCAGTTACATAAGATTCAAGTTTGTCTCTACAAAATTAATAATACTTTAGTTTCAAAAATACATCATACAAGTAATAATAATTATTTTAATAAATTTAATATTTTTTCATTACCTTAATGTAAGTTTGTTTATATCTGATATATCTATACCTTGAGAAGCATTTATTTGTTTTTCATTAATCATTTTGGATCCAGTATGAATGGACATAACATGTTTGCATAGTAAATCATCTACAAGCTTTCAGAAATAAAATATATATTATTTCAGAGATAACTTTTATAAAGTGTAATTGTAAATATGTACCTTATTTGGTTCATCTAGCAATAAAAAAATTAAGTCAAAGCGTGATAAAAGAGGTGGACTCATTTTCAAATTTTGTATTACTGTTTTGCTTCTGTTGAATCGACCATTAATTGGATTAGCAGCTGCAAGAATTGAAGTCCTTGTGGGAAGGGAACAAACTACTCCTGATTTAGCAACGCTTACACACTGCTGTTCCATAGATTCTAATAAAGCCTGTAATCAGAGGAAATTATTTTCTACATTGAAAGTTAGCAAAAGATAAACAATTTACTTCTTTAGGCATTAATATTTAATTAATTTACATAAAATTACACATTACCGAATGTTGTTTGGACATTTTATCAAATTCATCAATACAACAACAACCTCTATCTGCTAAAACTAATGCTCCTGGTTCTAAAGCAAAATTGTTACTTTTATTTTCCTTTGTAAGTGTTATCGTCAATCCAGATGATGTGCTCGAATTACCACACACATATACTCCTTTCAACATAATTATTCTGTAATATTTAAAAATATGCAAAAAGATAAAAATTTACTTTTTTTAAATTATACCTCTAGCAGCGATTCTTGAACATGCTTGCAACATTTGTGATTTCCCAAGACCAGGATCACCGACTATTAAAGTATGTATATTTTCTCGTAATTCTAAATGTTCTGCATTTCCACCAAATAAGCTTAATATCAAACCAGCTTTAATCATTTCATGACCGTATATACTTGGACAAAGGGAATGTACCAACAGTGGAAAAATATTTGGTGTATTATATACTTCCTATTGCATAATTTGTGAGAAACATACAAATTCATAATAAACTTTTCACATTATAATAAAAAAGTGTATTAATATTATACCTTAATTGCCAAATAATCCTTAATGGACATTTCATTATCCACAATATTTTTAGTTTGAAATCTTTGTTTATTATTCAGTACTGTAATAGCTTCCATGTACAATGAAAGTGATACTTTATTATGCGTTTTACAATTATTAGTACCCTATAATACAAATATTAATAATCGTTAACATTTAACCAATGTTTTAAATGTTTTTATATGCAGACATATACATGGAAATACTTAAAAATGAAAAGATGTATCGGGAATATATTAACTTAATTATTTAATCTCATGTTTAATAATATTTCATTGTGCTTCATATTTTTTTAATATAACAGTTTTCAAATTTTGAAAAATATAAACATATAAACAGGAAGTCAAATAAGCAAATTTAAAATTACAATCGTAAATAACCATTTACTTTTATATCATGTTGGATGTATTAAATACCTTTATAATTCCTGTTAATGTAATATCATCTCCAGGCATGCAAGTAGTGACTAAGTCATCCATTAATTCAACATCAAGTACTCTAGGCATGCTACCTTTATTATTCTACAACATAAGAGATAAATTCCATAATAAAAATATTTTAAATTACATATAAATATATATTTATAATAAAATAAAACACCTGTTCATCGTTTAGAAGTTCTTGTATTTTAATTGTTTGAAAAGGGATACTTTTTACTTGTGGAGAATCTAATATTGGACGAAATCTAGATGAACCACATATATTACATTTTTTTGGAATGGTATAAATTCCTTGTGGCTGTTTTGCTATTTTTTGTAAATTACATTTGCGACAAGCAAATACTATCCAATCTCCAAGATGTTTCACACACCCTACTCTTATGACACAGCCTCTAATAGATACCAATTTTCCTATCACAAAAATGTAGGTATTTTATTACAAAACTTTTGGACATCAAAGGAATTACATACTTACCATAAGAATTTGCTTTCAAATCTTGTAAACATATAATGGGTTGATAATTTAATATCTTTAATCTAATAGTAGAAAATGTACTTATAACATTTATACAACTTTTTAAATTTTCTCTTGGTATTGTATGTAATATTTTCTGAAAATAATGGAATTTCTATATGTAAGTATGGTACATGTGTGTAAATATTAAAAAAAGTACCTGATGAATAGCAAGTTTAAAACAATTTAATATGTGCACAGGATTCTCATAAATATCTTCTTTAAAATTAGCCCATTCTTTTAGAAAAATCTTGTCATTATATATTTCACACATATCAATTACAAACACTGTACCATTCTCTAAATTTTCTAAAGAAAGCAAGGATGTTAAGCGATCATGCCTGCTTATAAATCCCTCAAACATTTGAATCTTTTTAACAGTGTCAGAATTGTTTTTATAATCTGTAGTACGAAATAAGATTTTGTAAATTAGAAGAATCATTTTTACCAATTATTATTACTAATTCATATATAGATAGATTGCATCAAATATTACAATAAATTAAAAATATAAGAAAGTATTTTCACCTTCATCACTAAAAAAGAATTTCCATCCATAATATGGTATATCGAAATTTACAAAAGAGTCATATTTATATAATGCATTGTTTGCCTCAATTGGATTTAAAGACTGATACACTTTTCCATTGTTTTGATTATCTTTATTTCTTTGTTCTGCAAAATATATTTTTTTTAGATGAAAAATATATAACAATAAAAATTACTTTGTAGTAGATAATTATTTAAGAAATGTTTTTATTAATAACTTATTGTATAATAGAATAAAATCCTAGAGAACAAAAAGAAAGAAAGATAGTAGTTTCTTACTATTAGATGTTGTTGACTTTTTCTTATTTAAATACCATTTTTTTTTATAATAATCATTAGTCTTTTTATCACTCATAATTATTTATTATTTTATATGTACTTAATATTTTTCATTTAAAAAAGTTAAACTTATAATTGATTACGAACGTTTATAAAAATAATTAACTTGTATAATAACTACGTAACATCACAATGATTACATCGTATTCCTATAAAATAGAAAACAAGAAGGTTATGTAGTATAGTTTCACATGGGAGTATTCACCGTAACTATGGCAACAGTTGTATAGCATCGCTATTGTTACAAACATTGCTTTCTGCTAGAGTAGTAAATTAAAAAAAGAATACATATAAATACGTATTTATGTTCATTATTGTTAAATTTTTCTTAATCTTTTGTCATTAACAAAATTCTTGAATTGGGACTTTTTATATCAAAATAATAAAAAAAATACATGAATATATAAATACATAAGTATATTATTAGTGTCAGAATATTTTAACAATAAATATGGAGAGATATGTTATTATCGAAAAAATTGGTGAAGGAGCACAAGGAATAGTCTTAAAAGCATACGACACAGTAGCAGATAAACATGTTGCGTTAAAAAAATTACTTTTAAAAAATATTGAAAATAGTATATCAACGTCTATCATGCGTGAAATAAAGATTTTACAACAATTAAAACATCATAATGTATGCTAATTAATTGCTTTATTAATATTTGATTTTTTATTTATTGTATTAAAATGTTCAATATTCTTGAAATTCATAAATTATATATAAAAAAACTATTTTAATACAGATTATAAAACTGCTAGATGCTTTCCCAGTTGGTCTGGATTTTATAATGGTTTTTGAGTATATGCCAATAAGTTTATGGGAAATAATAAAAGATAATGAAATAGTATTAACATCGGTTCAAGTGAAAATGTATATGAAGATGATCTTAGAGGGTATTGCTTACGTACATGAAAAAAATATAATACATAGGGTACGAAATCTTGGTTGTTTTCTTTAATAAAATTAGTAATAGCCATTTCATCATAAATTATAAAATGATTTTTGTGTAGTGTATACATTTCTTAACTGTACAAAAGTATTCTTCTTAGGATTTGAAACCTGCAAATTTATTAATAAATGAAAAGGGTATTTTAAAGATAGCAGATTTTGGTTTGGGGAGATTAATGTGGACAGATATGTGTAGACCATATTCTCATCAAATTGCTACCAGATGGTATCGAGCACCAGAGTTATTGTATGGGGCAAGATATTATACCTCGGCTATTGATATGTGGTCTATTGGTTGTATTTTTGGTGAATTACTTAATAAATCACCATTATTTCCAGTGAGATTCAATGCGTGTTTAGAATTCAGGTTAAATTTGATTGAAATTCTATAAGTATATTGTACTTGTAGGGAGAAACAGATATTGAGCAACTAGCAATAGTGTTAAAATATTTGGGATCACCTACTCCAGAAACTTGGCCTGAATTAAGTACATTACCTGATTATAATAAAATTACATTTCCTTATCATAAAGGAATAACATGGGAAAATATCATTGAAGATGCACAACCAGAAGCTATTGATCTTATAAGCAAAATACTTATCTATGATTCGTCAAATCGTTTAACAGCTAATGAAGTGAGTAATGCAAGAAATGTAGAAAATAAATCTAAAAATTGCAAATAGTTTTAATTAGAAACATTATTACTTTAGGCACTATGTCATGTATATTTTTATACTAAACCTTACACATCATTAAATAATTTAATAAAACCATCATATAATCATCGCAATCAAATAAAACAAAAAGAAATTATTGTAAATGCGCAAGTTACCACACTTTTTGAAAATTTATTAGCTATTACTTAATGTGTGTATAATGCAAAAGATGAAGAATAAAGAATAAAATAACTTTACAATGACTTCGTACTTTGAAAATAATATAATAAGTTTCTTCAAGGTATAGAATTAATTGTAGGAAGAAAATTTTGATTAGTTTTTTAGTAACATTTATTAATAAAAGTTCCTCCTAATTTATGTATTTTTATAGAAAGCAACAAATCTCTTAAATACTTCATTGTTGTATCCTTCACAACAAGGTTTTCCATCTTTATATCCAGCGTTTTCATATAATTTTAATGTTGGTGCTGTCCACCAGAAATTTTTAATTCCCTGCATACCATTTATATCTAATGTATTCAGTTGATACACAGAAAAATGAAAATGTTGTCCATCTGACTGAATACATTGTATAACAACAGGTTCTGCCAATTCTTTAATATCTAGCCCAAATCTTTGTCGAGCGTAAACTGTTGCTGCTGTAAATGATGCTAGCAACGAACGGGCATGAATTTGGTGTTCCATAACTGGCAATTCTGTTATATTTTTTACCCTTTCTGGGTCATGATTTACAAAAATTGTGTGAATATTCCTTATTTTAGAATTTGTGGTAAAGGCTATAAAATACAAAACAATACATTTAATTTTATAGCCACCTATATTGTGTAAAGTTCAAACAAAACTTACGGCATATATCAACAGTATCATAAGAATTTGTTTCTGTTAAACCAATAGTGTAATGTAATGGATATATATTGGGCATATCTTGATCCTTATTTGTATTTACATCAGCTATTGGTGCTAAAGGTAGTAATGATGTTATTAAATCCATTGAAAAGGAAAACTTTAGAAGATCTGGTCCATTATCTAAAATTTAGGAAAAGCTAATTTTTATTCATAAATAATTATGATGTATATAAAATTGATTAATAAAATTGATCACTTACTATAAAAAATTAGAAATTAAAACCTAAAATACTAGTTACATTTTTATATTATATAAAGTGTTTAATAAAATATAATATACATACAGTAATAATAATAAACTCTTTTAAACAACATACCTATGCATATAGATAAAGGTGAATCACGTATCACTGATCGATTTTGGACAATGTTGAATCCACATAATGATTCACATAGTTGTAAAAACTTATATGTTATATTGTGCCTACAAGAAAATCCTCATTTTATAATGCAGATGTAAATATAAGGAAATACGAATTAAATAGGACTAAATAATTTATACACACATTTTCCTTGTGCTTGTAATGCCATATTGTCTAGGAAATACCCAACTTGGTCTATTAGGATCTTTCAGTTTTGGTAATGTTTTCTGGTATGCATCATATATGGTGGATGTGTTAACAATTCTAATATTTTAAATAGATAATTTTAAAACATTAATCTACATGCAATATTTAACAATACTGTTATACACAATGTAATATCATAACATTATCATACCTTTTTACTAAATTGTCTACATGTTCTGGGACGTTTGTGACCAAGTCTATTATTCTTATTGGAAGTTCATCATCAATTTTTAATGTTTTTGTTAATAAACAAGCTTGTGGAATACCTTCTTGTAAAAGATTATGTTCATTGAATATTAAACAACTTTTCTCCTTCCAGTTTGGATCTGCGCAAGGCAGAGGAGGCAGATCAAGTCTAAGAACAATAAAAATCATTATAAAATACAACTATAATATAAATGTATCAATAGTTCAAAAATATGTTTGGTGTTCCATATTAATATTTCATACTAATTAGATTAGGAAGAAATAAAAGTCAATATTAACATTATTACTTTTGAAAGATTTTTGGTAATTTAGCTACTTCCGTTGCATCTTGTATTTCTACACTCATAGACGTTAAAGTTTCTTCTGCCTTTGTTATAATTATGTTTCTTTCTCTCTGTAATTGCCATAATAATCGTATTGCTCTACCCAAATGTTGTTTATACAATACTTGGGTAAACTTCATTGTGACTTATCTAAAAATAAAGTTTGATTATACATATTAAAAAAAATTACTTTTTTAAAATTATAATTTAACAATTCATAAAATCATAATTAATTTGCAATTCTATATTATTATATGATATTATATCATATTAGTGTTGTTCTATAACATTTTATTATATATTAAATTTAAGTTAAATAATGTTGTGACAGTTTTAAAAAAAGGAAAGACATTCTATAAATTTTATAACATAATATTTTTAAACATTGTTACATTTTGTAACATAACATTTTTAAACATTGTTACATTTTGTAACATAACATTTTTAAACATTGTTACATTTTGTAACATAACATTTTTAAACATTGTTACATTTTGTAACATAACATTTTTAAACATTGTTACATTTTGTAACATAACATTTTTAAATATTGAAATATTAACTTACCATACAAATTTACACAATTTTATTATAAACGTTTGTAACTTTGTACGTGATATATCATAGAATAATACATAAATACAGAATTCTCTTAAACAAAAATTTGTTTACATTGTTACCAAAGTTAGGTACAGTGTTCCTCCCGTAATTTTGTGTTTCTATAACACTTTTAATGTCTTGCTCCTATCGTTATCGTCTCGTAATGCATTCAGAAGACTTCTAACAGAAGGACAACAATATATATCAACCAATAAGGGGGTAAGCAGTCTTCACTGCTCTCGAACGTCTTGCCGAACCTCCTGAATTTTACGAATTTATAGAAACAATATTGTGATAGGTACTTCATTTTGAATACTCAATAATGAATCAGTTCTTTTAATTCTCTTTTGTGTTTGCATTGTAAACAATTAAATCATGTTTGCTACTATTATAAAAAAGTTTAATTCTTATTTAAATACACACAAAATCTTATGTTATTTTTTCTTATTCATTACCTTTATAAATGAGTATTAAAACAAACAAAAAACTGCTCATACATTTACATATCTCATTTAACACAATACATATGCTTGTGCCATAGAAGTATTTATTGATAGGGATATTTAAGTACCATTTGGCCATTCCACTTCCGAGTAATATTACAAAATGTCACGTTCGCATCTATAGCATAAGAATTTATGGTACGAATTATAACACCATGTTCATGGTAGTTGTATAGTCAATAATGAATTCATTTTAATTTTTTACTTTTATTCTAACAAAATTTCTTCAACATTTCGGCTTGTACTAAAGCTAATATAAAATATTTTATAGGCTATCTCAAAATAATTTTTTTTCAGAGTACATTCAATTTTCATTGCAATAATAAAAATAGTATTTTCAATCTGAAATACTTGCATCGACTATATCTTAAAATGTATGTTTATTTATGTCACTTCATAAACATGTTTAACGGTGGACGTGTATGGAAAAAATAATAATGGAAGAATTTATTTCGTTTTTAATATATTACCCATACTGTTTAGTGAAAATTTGTATTGTTCTTATTATCGAGGACAGTGTAAATACATATCTTAAATGTGGATTTATCCATTGATAGAATTTATTAGTAGTAATTATAATCACACGGTACTTCTACTATTAGGATTAAGAATGAAATAAATATTGAAATAAGCATTCCGTGGCGGCATTTATTTGTAGTTTATAAATACTTTATAGAATATTATTTTTGTACCAGTGTTACTATATGTATAAAAAACAAATGAATTGAATACCAACAATAGCCACGTGCGCGTGGCGCTATGATCTGTGCCACAGGATCTCGTATTATAGATGGGAATGCCGTTTTTCCTAGTGTCTGTCGGCAAGCAAGAGTGGGATGGACTAGAACATATTGTGTTCGGAGGTATATCTAGTTTACCTAGTGATTTGCATATTACGAGATTTCTACCTTTGACGTATGAAAAGATGGTGACCTACTGATAAAGAAGTTTCGTGAAAACGAAAATCATAGTTGCTGAAGGATTTTTCAAGTAATATTATTAATAGTGCAAAGAACAGGCAATGTATTGGAATTGGACACATTTGAAACAATCCATTTCAGTTGTATCCGTACGTATTGTACTTTATTCGTTCGTCACTTGTGTCTATTACTCAATTATTGGAAAAAGTTAATGATCATAGAAGATTTTTTAAAAATCTGATATTGATAATTTTAATAATTACTTTACATTTGCATGTGTTATTTCGTGTAATATTATATGTATTTAGTATTAATTATATAATTCTGATTTTCTAAAGGGACGTCATATTTCTGTTTACTTTTTTAAGAAAACATCTTTAAGAGAATTTTTTTACGTTTTTAAAGTTTAGACATTCGTATGATCGAATTGTCGCAATTCTTGAGCGATTTTAGTAATTTTAATTGTTCTCTACTGATGCACAATATTTATCAAGTTTTCATAATAACTATTTAATCTTATCTGATGATGTTATTTTCGTTTTGTTTGTGTATTTTTAATATAAATATTGATAACTTTGTGAAGGTAGATGCATATTAATAGTTATGTTCATAAATGCTATATATTTCAGGAGAAAATAATATATGTACAAAAATTATGAATTTGTATAAATTATTTTATTAAATTTTCACAATGTCCCATTGTGAAGAAGAGGTGGCATCATCTGGTTTTCACCAATTAAGCATTACAAGTAAGTCGTAATATATATTTGTAAAAGACATAATTAAAGTACACATTTATTATATTTACATATTTTTTTATATACTTTTTTATATATTTCTAATAAACTTGAAGTTTACATAGAAACTGTTGAATTATTATCTATTTTAGAATTTTTAATAACTTTGCTTTGATAAATTAATATTTACATGTATGATATTTATTAATTGTTGATAAAATTTCGTTTTAGTTGAGGGCGCTATCTTAAAAAGTTCAACATTCTTAAAACCGAATCCATATATTGAATTTTCTGTTGATGACAAAAGCCCTAGAAAAACAGAAGTTTCAAAGTCTACATATCAACCGAAATGGAATGAAGAATTTACAATACTTGTAACACCATATTCTCAATTACATTTTCGTTTATTGGATCATAGCACATTTCGTAAAGATACATTAATAGGAGAGAAGAAAATAAATCTTTCTGAAGTGTTATCTCACTACAATGGAAAATTGGAAAATATGGAAGTTACCTTTGATTTAATGAGTGAAAATAAACATGATTCTCAGTTATGCAAGGTTGGAGAATTAATTACAGTATTTGATGGGTTAAGGATCAATATGCCAAATGTTTCATCGTTAAGTGTTAACGAATCACCATGTCAGACACAATGTACACCTCCTGATGGTAAGAAATGGAACTTGTTGAAAGAAATCTAGAGACATTATACAGAGAAATATTAGTTGTAGAAGAAAAAAATACTACCAATACAAAAAGAGAATTTTATGTAATTTAGTTCCAGTACATTTCTCTAGACGTAATATTGATTAGTAAATGTTTCATTTAAACATAAGTAACTATATTTTAGGCATTAAAAATAATGATACTGCAAGTAATCGTAGTATTCTTAATGGAGGAGTTCGTGCTCGCGTGAGATTACATGGAGCTGAAAATGTTGCATCATCTGCTTTTCGTGGATTATCAAATATTTACCATAATTCTAATTATAATACTGGAAATGAGCAACCTAATACTGATAAGAATAGTGAACAAGTTGAACCTGTAGCATCAAATTCTTTATCAAATGGACATGTAGTGTCACCTATGGATAAATCTGTTGCTTCTTTATCAGGGCATCATGCAATGTCTTTGTTAGATGGACGTCAAGCATCTCGAATAGAACATACGCCTACACCTGGAACAGCAGATGGAAGAATTGCTATATGTGCGGATCAATTTTCAAAGATTTCTGTCTCAGAAGGTCGTAATACTTCACAAGGAGAACAGTCAACACTGTCTGGAGCAGTTGGAATATGCAGATCAGATCAATTAGGAACAACCAATGCAGATATACGCTCGCATAATAGAACAGAACAATCCACATCTAGTGGACGCAATTCTAGAACAGAACAATTATTAACTACTCCTCTTTCAGATAATTTTGGAAGTATAAGATCTGATCAACTTTCTACTCCTATAGTAGATGCGTGTGTAACTCCTAGGACAGATCAACCTCCAACAGATCAATCTGCAACATTCACATTACCAGAAGGATCTTGTGCATCTCATTCGGAGCAGTCTTCAGGATTTCACGCGCCAGATAGTCGTAGAATGACGCGCGCAGAGCAGTCTACATTAGTACCTATTGCAGAAAGGCGTAGGGTTGTCCGACCAAAACAATCAACAACATCTGCATCAACTACTCCTTCGAATTCCCTAGTGGTGCAGCGTGTAGCTTCTTTAACAGGACAAACTGTGATGGCACGTGGTCAGCCAACTGCTCAGTCTGGATCATCGATAATACTCGCTGAAGTTGAACCTTCAAATCATTCTGAAGAACCTTTACCTCCTGGGTGGGAAATGAGATACGACATATATGGAAGAAGGTTATATCACTTTAAAAAATGATATATATATCACTTATTATTTCATTTCAATAATTTGTTGAAACTTCTACATTCTACGAGAATATAAAATATAAAAATCTTTTCTTTGTTTAATATATTTTTCATTAGATATTATGTTGACCATAATACACGAAGTACATCTTGGGAAAGACCACAACCTTTGCCATTAGGGTGGGAAGTACGTCGAGATCCAAGGGGTAGAATTTATTATGTGGATCATAATACAAGAAGTACAACATGGCAAAGACCGAATACTGAGAGACTACAACATTTCCAACATTGGCAAGGTGAAAGACAACATGTGGTACAACAAGGTAACCAACGGTTCCTTTATCCACAAGTAAGTAATAATTGATACATTGCGTATTACAAATTATTTTACTATATAAATATTTATTAATATTTCTCTTTTAATTCTGAAATCTGCAAAAGTTAATTTTCATGTATATAGGCACATGGAAGTCAAGCAGCTGTGCCAGGACCTTCAATGTCTACAGTTGACGATGATGATGCTCTGGGACCATTACCTGCTGGATGGGAAAGACGTAAACAACCAGAGGGAAGAGTTTATTATGTGAATCATAAAAATCGTACTACTCAGTGGGAGGATCCTAGAACTCAAGGTCAAGAAATTGGAATCGATGAACCACCATTGCCAGATGGTTGGGAAATAAGATTAACCGAAGATGGAGTTCGATACTTTGTAGATCATAATACGAAAACAACTACATTCCAAGACCCAAGACCTGGTGCACCAAAAGGGTTAGTTCTTTTCATTTATCTGTAGTTATTTTTCTTCATTACTTAATGATTCAGTTTATTGTTATAATGTGACTATGTAGGGCAAAAGGTATTTATCGTGTTCCAAGAGCGTATGAAAGATCATTTCGATGGAAATTATCACAGTTCCGTTTTTTGTGTCAAACCAATGCAGTGGCAAATCATATTAAAATTAATGTTAATCGACAAACATTGTTTGAAGATTCTTATCATCAAATAATGAATGCAGAAGCTTTTGTATTGAGGCGTAGATTATACATAATATTTAAAGGAGAGGAAGGATTGGATTATGGGGGTGTATCCAGGTAAAATTTCGTAAATTAATGATATAGTGATTGTTAAAGTTATAAGCAATAACTCTTTTATTCTATTTTTTTAGGGAATGGTTTTTCTTATTAAGCCATGAAGTGTTAAATCCAATGTACTGTTTATTTGAATATGCCAATAAAAGTAATTACAGCTTGCAAATTAATCCAGCATCTTACGTCAATCCTGACCACTTACAGTACTTTAAATTTATTGGGAGGTTTATAGCAATGGTATTCTATTAATAATTTTTATTGTTAAAAGTACCATATTCAACTTTATATTTAATAAAACATATATTTTTACAGGCTCTTTACCATGGAAGATTTATTTATAGTGGTTTTACTATGCCATTTTATAAACGTATGCTAAATAAAAAGTTAGTTATGAAAGATATAGAATCTATCGATCCAGAATTCTATAAATCTCTAGTGTGGATAAAAGAAAATAATATTGATGAATGTGGCCTCGAATTATACTACAGTGTTGATTTCGAAATTCTTGGTCAAGTTATACATCATGAATTGAAAGAAGGCGGCGATAAAATCAGAGTTATCGAAGATAATAAAGAAGAGTATATCAGGTGTTACTTTAAAAATTTTATTTATGTTTAATATATTATTCTTTAAGGACTTCTAATAGTGAACTTTTTTTTATATGTATTAACATTATTTGTTATTATAAGGTTAATGACAGAATGGAGAATGACAAGAGGTATAGAGGACCAAACTAAAGCTTTCTTGGAAGGTTTCAATTCAGTTGTACCATTAGAATGGTTAAAATATTTTGATGAACGGGAATTAGAACTTATGCTTTGTGGAATGCAAGAAATAGATGTGGAAGACTGGCAGCGTAATACAATTTACAGACATTATACACGTCATAGTAAACAAATCTTATGGTTTTGGCAGGTTTGTTATTATATTTATTATTATATTTATCATTTGCACATTTAATGTATTTACTATCATATGCCGTTATATATTTAATATTTAGTTTGTGACAAGAACGGATAGTGAAAAACGAGCTCGCCTTTTACAATTTGTGACGGGCACTTGTCGAGTACCTGTTGGAGGTTTTGCAGAATTAATGGGTAAATATTAAATTTTAATAATTAGTAGAATTTTTTATGCTAGAGGCTTGTTATGTTTACTATTAAATTAATCATTATTTTTTAGGGAGTAATGGACCTCAAAGATTTTGTATAGAGAAAGTAGGAAAAGACACGTGGTTACCGAGATCGCATACATGCTTCAATAGATTGGATTTGCCACCATATAAAAGCTATGAACAGTTAGTAGAAAAGTTAAATTATGCAATTGAAGAAACAGAAGGTTTTGGTCAAGAATAATTGCAGATATGCTTTGTTAAATGTAATAATGAATTATGTATGGAACCATCAAAACAAATCTAGTATGATGATGCAAGATGTTTTGGTTCTTTTTATTCTCAGTAATAATATATATTTTTTAAGTAACATCAATATAGAGTCTACAAATACGATAAGTGAAATATGTTGAAAATATTGTTAATTTTCCATAAAATTCTTTTAATAGTTTTAACTGGAACTGATTTCTCTCGACTTACAGTTCATACGTCGTATGCATCGCAATTGAAATCGGAAAAATGAAATTCGTAGAAAATATCAATGATTTGTAAATTTATACATATATAACTAATAAAATATTAATAGCGTAAAATAAAAATAAAGATGCCAAAATAACTATAATAAAGTTAAATTCTATTTTTTTTTCATTTTTACAACTTTTTGATATTTTATTCGACGAACATTATAAATGATTTTTATAAACTTCTATTTTAACAGAAAAGATTTTTTAAATTTATATGTATGGCTTATTCTACCAGTATACTTCAATAATAATTTCGATCGTTTCTGAACTTAAGATTGATAAAATTATAATCATTTTAATGAAAATAACTTATTGATGATTTCTACGACGTGTTAATGATATTGCCTAAGGATGAAAAGGCTTGAACATTTTAATAATAAATATTGTACATATTAAACTATTAATATGCTGTATATTATATTATAAACAAATAACAGTTTCATGTTTTATCCTAGATACTCATAAAATGCCCATATTTTTCTGTACATATCGCGTATAGTAAATATTCACTTAATTGTCAGTAAATTTTCCATGAGATTTACAAAAGCACTTACATGTATTTTATTAATGTTCTAAAATGTTACATTGAAATTGTATTCATGTTTGTTATTACAGATTTGATTATAAAATATGATAATTCCTTTAATAAGTATAACATAATACATGTAATAAATTAATATCTGTGATATCAAACATGTTCAATTTTTAGGATTGTAAACATGGAATCTGTTACCTTGTTTATAAATAATTTTAGTGCATGTATGCGCACGTACATGTACAAATAAGTATTGTAACTAATGTAACAAATACGTAATGAATTAATATATATATGTAATGTATACATTTAGCATGCATGCAATATAAAATTGTATATGTGTATACACAAATTAAATACATGGAATGCATACCGCATAGGCAACTAAAACTTAATATTTAAAAAAAAGTATAAAAGATTTATAATACTATTTAAAAAATTAAATAAATTTAGTGATTCGTTTATATGATGTTTAAGTACTTATATCACAATGAAAACATTAATCTATCAACTTAAATGTTTTATATTCCACTTTATGTTGTTATTATTATAGCTATATAACTGTATGCACTGCGTATCATTTATTGTTTTAATTAACAGGTAAGGTATCGGCGTTTTTTAAGGTTAAAATTGAAATTCAAATAACAAAAATATTGCAAATACAAAACATCAACTTTCATGTATATAATTTTTTTAATTTAACACTGAAATAAAAAATTGAGTATGAACATCTTTATGTACATATTTACTTCGTCTTATCTTACATCTATGCTGTGTATTTTCATAAATGTTATCATTTTAATTAATTATATAGTTTCAAAAAATTATTTAGAACTAAAAATTATTATGAATTAAAATTGAGCAATATTTGCAATGTCCTTTTTTTGCGAATATAATAAT